ATATGCATCAATGTGCAAAACAAATGCATTCCCAGCAGGCATGGCTCACAGTGTTCTTGTTCACCCAGTTATGGACTGATGAAGGCTCACGGCCTCCCCAGGAACACCTGTGGAGGCATACAGCTATTCCTCCTTCTGATGTGGAAATGCCTGCTCAGAGCCAGGCAATCATCGGTATCAACATCAAAGGCAGTTTATCCAAAAATTGTAAACAGCATCACATTCTTCCAAGGAAATCTGGTCACCTGCCCCTATGGTTAAGAACCAGTTTCTTCACAGAGATTAATAAGTGCCACAGTACAGCCTCACTAAAACCCAATCCATGAGGTCATGGATCTAAGATGACCAGAGATGCCTTTGCCCAGGCACTTCAGCAAGACAGCTAAAATACACTTCCTCCTTTTTTTTTTCAGCCAGGCATGGCAGTCTGGCAGGTGTCAAGCCAAGGGGTAGTACAAAGTATGCTCCCAGCAATTAACAGGGGAAACACTTTCCATACAAAGCAGATGGCTGCTTACTACAGTGTTAAATCTGTCAGGGACCACAAGCAGATAATGGAGTTGTTACAGGCCAGGAAGATTGGAGGAAAAAGAAAACTAAGAGGGCAGCATGGAGATGGAACATAACCTCCAGAAGACCCAAGTTCTCAGGAGCAATGAAGATGTGTGCCGTGTATCAGCACCATTTCCCTTCAGCTGATCTCTGCAGCACTGCCTAAGCCTGCACCTTGCAGGTTAGGACTCAGGTGATCCACCACCCACAGAAGCATCCAAATACGTTTCACAGATGACAACGAGGTCGCACCAAGGGCACCTACCCTAGTTTAGTGCTAGTTCTGGTTGCTACACCTGGGGCAGCAAAGGGCCAGCAGCTGCAGCATTGGCAGGTAAGAAGAGACCAGGTGAGGCTGCAGTAAAGTTTTAATGGCTCTAACACAAAAGACTGCAGCCGCCTGCAATGACATCCAGAGAGGTTGAAAAGACAGAGAAGAGGGAAGCCTCTACACACTGCTTCTGTCCCAAGTGCAAATGCTGTGGGTGGCTGAGATTCCCCATGGATCTTCATTTCCTTTCTCCATCCCACTCTTTTTTGTTTTCTGTTGTGGGTGAGGACAGCACAACTCTCTCAGAACAGCACAGTAAGCCCTCCAATACTCATAAAAAATATCTGTTCTGGAAGACTGCAATCATAAACACCACCAGGAATGAAGGTATTATCAGAAAGTAGTCTTCCTACCTTCATCCTTTCAATCACTCCTTCTCCCAACCTCACAGATCATGTATCAGTGACCCCATCACAGTGAGAATATCAACCAAATACTAGTGAATACAAAAACAAGGGGATACACTCAATTTATCTACTCTCATAGGCTAAGCTACACGAGTGGATTCACACCAAAGAAACTGAGAATGAGGACAGTCATTGGTTTCCCCAGCTGAAAAGGCAACTTTTATTTTTATTTATCCAAGTGCTTACTGCATAGTTTTATTGGTAGAGGCCAACTGCATGCTAGTAAAAGCACAACAGCATTAGATAGGTTTGCAAAAGCTTGAAAGATGAACGTAATTAGCAGACAACTGGAGATGAATCTCAACTTCTGTTGAGTTCTTCTTTCATGTTAAAAGTTGGCAGCAGGAGCTATTTTGTTCCAAGGCTACATGCAGCTGTAAGCCTGCAGACCTGAGGAGGTGATTCCTACCAGCATTGGTAGGAAGTGGCTGCTCCCTTCTTTCCTCTGCAGGCTGGCAGTTTGAATAATTAGAAAAAAACCATCATGGCCAGCTGATGTTTGAAGAGCCTGGTGTAACAGTGCCTGCAGTCCTTGCCTGAACAGCACCAGTAACAATTCAATCATGTAGAAATGATTCCACAGAACCAGAGTTTTCAGAACCAAATTAGAAATGCCACCCCCTTTGCTCCCATGCATGCAGTGGTCAGACATCAGTAATGGTCTCACCCAACCTGCAGTGAGACATGGACATGTGGGAGGACACCAGGGTGACGAGCAGTGGCCAAACACCACTGTAACATCACCACGTGTCCATGTTTTAAGGCAAACAAGAGTTGCTAAAGGTTGTTACGAAAAAAAGCAGATGCGTCAACTGCTCTCAAGGCAGAAGTTTCAGGTTTAACACAGAGCCCAGCAGATGAGCAGTGCTTGTCAATCCACAGCGCGTGTAGCTGCATCCACCATGTGCTTCTGGCATCAGTCACTGAGGTCCTTCCGAAAATCTTCAGCCAATTTAAGCTAAAATTATCCCAAACAGTTCAGTAACAGCAGCAACTTGTCTCCCACTGAGCACGCAGAAGCTGTAACAAACCTTCTGGAGCAGAAACAAAAAATTAACCAGGCCTGCTCCCTGCTGGGAAGAAAAAATAATGCTTTCTGATTCAATGCATAATTAAGTAGACAATTAAAACATGGGAATTCCTCCATTTCTACAAGCTGCTCTTTTATTCACATCAAAATTCTATTTGTGGGAAGGGAACCATCACTTCACTCAGTTACTCATGATTATTCCATCAGGCAGTCTGCCACACATCATGGATTAACAAAAATCAGAAGGCTCCTTGTAAGCAATGCATTTATTGGGAAGAAGAAACAGTAGCAGACCTAATTGGGGGTTGGACTCGATGATCTCTGGAGGTCCCTTCCAACCCCTACAACTCTGTGATTAGTAAGTACTGAAATTAAACAGTCTTCAAATGGGGGAAAAAAAGGCTCCCTCATCCATAAAAGGTCAAGACAGTTATTAAAGGCAGAGTAGTGAGAGTATCAGCAGAGAGAAAGCACGTAACCATGAATAAGTCAAAGCTACTAGGAATATTAAGCTAAAAAAAAAAGCAAAAAAAAAAAGCAAAAAAAAAAAGCAAAAAAAAAAGCAGCAGCTAAAATTTGAAGATGGTTGAGGATAATCACCGAAGGGAATTTTCATCGTGAACACTCCGGAAAATTAAATAGCCCAATTCAACCACGCAGAGTTAACACAAAGAGATAATGACGCATCCCAAACAGAATGGCAACAGACTACACTCAACAGTGCCTCTGCATAGAAGCTACTGTTGTTTTGTTGCTTTCTTAAATTCTTTATTTCATTCTGTTTGATTATTTTAGGAACACAAATTCAACTAGGAAACTGAAGCATCAGCAGAAAAACCAGTCTACCACATCAGTGCCAGAAGGACAGAACTCTCCTATTTTAGTGCACCCAGAACTTGACAGCCATGTGAAGTTTCACTGCTCACACAGCCCTAATCCACTGCCCACAGGCCTGAATTGAAACTCAATAAGACTGCAAAGCCCCCTTCTGGACACACATACGAAAAAAAATAAGCTGTGCTAGAGACAGCAGGCAAGCTTTTAGCACACAGTCCTGGTGAAGGACTGTACAAGCATTGGCTCTAACACAATACAAAAGAATCCCAGAACATCCTGAGTTGGAAGGGACCCAGAGCAGAATCTCAGAATTAAGATTTAATAAAAAGAAAACTGAAAGGGAAAATTAAGCAAAATGTATGAAAACCCACAAGCTTACCTTCCCCATTTAATGCTGAGTATTTTCCAGGCTCAGTAACACACAGAACAACTACAATAAGTTGGCTTACATTCACACTACACGTAAGACTGTTTTGTATCTGTACCTACTTTGATTACGTGTGTTCTTGTTAATTGTATTCTGCTTTATATATTGAAAGTGTTTACTCCCTGTTTTTATGTTCTAGCCTCCAGCAATCCACAGCTTCCTAGTGCTTGGAGCCAGACATGGTTATTTTGTTTATAGCACGATTTCATATAGGACAAGAGATGCAGGCATTCTTTATGATAAGAAATATCTGGTTACTTTGAAAACACGTTACATTACATCACTAAATGACACAAACGCATTTCAAGATACTTTGGCGAGCAGTGATTGCAGGCAGGCTGACCTCCCCCCAACAAGACATTACCATATTTGGTCTACTTAAGTAATCTACTCAAATTCAAACTTTTCTCCCGCTGCCACCATCACACCAGATCCTACACAAAAAGCCTACACAAGCGGCAGAGCAATCCCTCACATCGCTCCCTTCACAGCCCTGTCAGCTGCCAGTTTCAACTCAAACTTCACTTAGTGGGACACCTCGCCTTGCAGGCTGCCTCCGAGGGATGGAGGTTGGATATGGGGAACAATTTCCTCTCAGAAAGCACGGTGGAAGTCCAGGTCACTTGGAGGGGTTGGAGAACGGTGGAGATGTGGCACATGGGGACACGGTCAGTGGGCACGGAGGGGACGGGCTGACAGCCGGTGATCTGATCCCTTCCCCAACCTCAGTGATCCCACAGGAGGGCTGTGAGCTGGTATGGACCAGGTGGGACCGCCAGCCATCCCCCACACGCGAAGGAGGGTCGTGGGGGCAGCACGTACGGGACAAGATGGAAAAATAAAACGTGGCTTCCAAAGAAAAAAGAAGTGGCCACAGGAAGCAGAACAGGTTATCTGCCACACGTAACGGATTCGGTTCACACCATTTGTAGGCACCAAGAAAGATTTTCTCCGGCAAAAAGCAAACTTAGCACGACCCTTTCAAATCCTCCAGCGCTGAGCCGCGAGGCGGGGACCAAAAGCCACTCACGGGTTTTTATGCGACAGCGGGCCGGGCCGGCCCGGAGTCCACAGCGCGGCGCCCAGACCCGCAGCGCGGCGGGAAGCTCGCTCTTTCCCGCCGGCCCCACCCGGCGCGGCCCAGGCCCGGCCCGCTCCCCCCCCCGCCGCGCTCCTTCCCGCCTTTCGCTCTCGCTCGGTGACGCGAGCAGCCCGAGCCGCGCTCAGCGCGCCGCCGGCAGCCGCTTCCCTCCGCAGCCCCCGGGCCCCTACACGCACACCCCCACAACCCAGAGCACCGCCGCCGCGGGGGAAGGATGGGCCGAGCGCAGGACCGCCAGCCCCGCTCCCTGCGACGGAGCGGCCCCGCCGGCCTCCACCGCCTCGGAAGCCTTGGAGAAAGGCGGCAGGCCGTACCTCGCGGGTGGTGACCTCCTCTTTCTCAGAGATCTTCACCAGCAGCCGGTCATTCTCCAGCTCCAGCGCCCGCACGCGGTCGATGTAGACGGCCAGGCGGTCATTGAGCTGCCGCAGCTCCTCCTTCTCCTGCAGGCGGGAGATGCGGGTCGGCGATAGCGGGGTCCCGCCGGGGGTGCCGCGGATCGGGGTGCCTGACATGGCGCTCAGCTCGCGGGCAGCAGGCTCATTCAATCCGGCCGCACCGGGGGAGGAGGGAGCGGTAAGATGGCGGACATCGCCTGCCCCGCCGCCGCGCCGCATGGGAAATGAAGTCTGGGCGCCAAGATGGCCGCGCGGGGCGCGCCGGGAGGAGGAGTCCGCGCCGCCGCCATTTTGTAGGCTCCCCGCCGCCACTCCGCGCTCGCTCGTAACGCGTTTTGAATACAGTTAAGCCATTGAGACTGGGAATAAAGCACGGGAGAAAGGTTATTTAATAACCTTGTACGTAATAACCTTGACTGTGCATAAAGCCGCTTCTGAAAGCAGACACCGCTCGTTGGGTTCGGTTCGTTTTTTCCTTCCAAGCTTGAGGGAGCGGAACTGTGGGATCAGGGTTCCTTCTCGTCAGCCCGTGTCACAGCATGTGCAGCCCCTGTGCTCCTCAGAAACGGCCTCTTAGGAACGAACTGCCTTCCTTGCCCCAGGAGGGGGGCATGGGTTAGCAGCAAGGCCTGCTAACCTGAATTTGCTGTGCTTCCCCCTCAGCATCTGTAGGCTGAGAACTGCAGTTTGCTGTTTGGGGTTTCAATCAACTGCTTCCTAGTGGGGATTTTTAGGAGGGCTGTTTTGCAGGCATTAAAAACGTACATGGTGATGCTGAGAAGGTGCAATGCTCCCAAGTCAGGCTGCTTAGGAAGAAAGTGCTCTTGCTATCCCAAGGGATGCTGCCAGTTCACAATGGAGCCGTTGGGAATTTTTCATTTGCTAAATATTTGGAGTATTACCTTCCCAAAGCATGTTTTTAGTGATATACTCCGATTTCTGTAAGTTCTTACACATTTAACCAGTATAAAATGCATTAGCAGTGAATTCCTTTTGTCCCCAGCCTTGGGACTAAAAAGCACTCAGTGTGGTTTTGCATTGTGACTAACAGGGAAGGCTGAGAAAAGGAAGATTTTCCGGGAAAAACAAGTTTGAAGTTGGTGGTACAACAGCAAAGAAAAAGGAGTATGAGTGTAATGCAAGCCAGCAATAGAAGACAACAGAAAAACAAATAAGAAAATACTGTATGCAATAGATGAAAAGAAGCTCAGGGATCCAAGCTGAACAAATAGATGTTTATGATCAAAACAGAAGCGATCTGATTCTCATCTTAGAGGGAACCTAAGATCAAGTACTTGTCAAACTGGAAAACCTCAGTACAGCTCTGCTGTGGGTGAGCAGTTCTGAGTCCCTCTTGCAATTGCTGTGTATCTGTAGCAGCTGCCTGTGTAAGCAGTAGGTTTTCAGGTAAGTTTTGCTCCTCCACCTGCAGAGAGCTGAGGGCAGGGGTTTCCACAGAGCTTGCAAAGCTGTGGGTGTCAGCGGGTTACTCAGAGGGATGAAAATAATCGTGCTGATCACCACCTCATTTCTGTCATTTCTATAGGCGCGTAGGCACATCAGTATGTAAAGAGTGCTGCTGTCGGATCTTAGTCAGTGAGATGTGATATAAACTCAGTGTGAAACCGCCCTCTGAAAGCAGTCGTTTTTGCCTTGAAATGCATCTGCAGGAGGAAGCAGGAAGGACAGACTACAAATCCCAGAGCGCTGTGCCTCATTTCTCAGCAGGGAGGTCTGACCTCGCGCTCGGGCTGGGAGCCACACCAAGGACAGCCCAGGAGCCTGCAGAGCCACCTCCTTCCTCATTGTTTCCATCCCCGCTCTGGATTTGAAGTACAGTGCGTTTTTTGAATTTCGGCGCCAGTTGCAAACTGTAAACCAACTGCTGCTGGATCAGCTCCAGAGCCCAGCGCGTGCCTCCAGCCGGAGCTGCTGTGAGCCTGCAGCGAATCAGACATCACTGCCTTCCCCCGAGCAAAGCAAAAAAAAAAAAAAAAAACTAATTAAAAAATAACGATTCTGAGTGAGTGTGAAGCCATGTGCTTAGAATGAACTTGTTCTGACCCAACATGCAGTTTCCAGCACTAACAAATCTGTGGAAGACCAGTAATTACATTTGATTATATAAAGCTGAAAAAAAAAAGTATTTTAGGAATGCTGAAAGCCTCTGCATAAATGTTTTTTGGGTTGGCTCATTTTTTCTCGTGATTTAACATGATGCTCTGCACATTGATCATAGTTTGGAAATTCTTTTACAACTTCTGCCTCTTTTTGATTATAATCAAAATGCAAGTTGATTATAATCCAGGTGCAAGTCTGCTTTGGTCATGAAGTTTAGTCAAAACTCTTCCATTATTCTGTCAGATTTTTTTTTTTATCCTATAAACTTTGTACATTTCAAGATTTTTTTTTTGCCTTTTAATATTTTTTTTACAGTGATGATACCACACCACAGTAATATCTTCCTTTTATATTTATACTTCCTCACACTTGAGATCTCATATTTTCTACAATATTTAGAATGTGCCTTTCTTAAGCAGTAACCAGAACATTTGCAGACTTTCATCCTTGTTATTGGCTTCACCTCTTTGTTTGCTGAACGTGTTTGTTCACTTTTCCTCACTGAGAACAGGACACTTTGGGGAGTGGGATGGGAAGATGCCAAGGTTGCTGCCTCACCCTCTGCCCCACACTGACTTTTGTGGGCAGCACAGCACAGGTGAAAGCTGTGCATGTACAGCATTCGCTCTGATAACAAGTCAGGAGCTTGGAAGTGCTCTGGGTTCTGATGTGGAGCTCCAGCTCGGAGGTGCTTGCAACATATCTGGCTATCTGGGTAGGTTAAGCATAAATTCTTGAGACGTCAGATAATGGAGACAGCAGTGGCAGGTTCTGCCTTGCACCAGGGTGCTTCTTCCCACCAAAGACATGAAGAGATTGCTTACAGCAGGGAATCAAGACAAAGGAGAGCCTCGCACATCCTTTGATGCTAAGCATCTTTTCAGTTGTTGGCCACTTTATAGTTTGGTGTGACGAGTTTTCTGATGCTATCTTGGATTTCATAATGATGCTGAATGCTGATACTGTCACAAAAGTGGGAACACCACATCTCCGTGGCTGATTTTTACCTCAACTACTTACCTTTCTTAGCAGCTGCTGCAGTGTCTTGTTTTCTCATTCTGCCCCGTATTACTTGTACGTCTTTAATAGTGAGATTATTTCTGTCTTTCCTGTAGTCATCAAACTTCCCCTCTGCCTCATGTTCCTTATCTCACTCTGAACTGCCTGTCTGGTTTAGTTGTCTCAGATATTTTCATTAATTTCAGGATGAGACATGAATTGAACACACAGCCCAGAACATTTACTAGGTGTCCAAATTCAGCCCAGCTCAACAGTAATTTAAAAATTGTTAGCAATGACTTCAAGCTTGGAAGAAGTGCTCATATCTTACTATAGATTTTTATCTTTCACTGAATGAAATTGCTTCTGGCAATGTCAGGACAGAAAGCACCAAAGCAAGGAGAGAAAATTAGTAGTATGCCATGGATGAGATCTTCCTCAGCTGCTAATGAGAAAGAGGTGTGTAAAAAGAGGAACAGAGTGCACAGCTGTGGAATTAAAGCAGACAGCAAACTCCATATAGAAGGATTTTTTTCAAGACAAGAAGACACCTCCTAATGAATAGAGGATGTATTTACATCTAATTCCAGGCAGATCATGTTTGGTAAGGCTTCGATAATAATACTCTTCTGCTACAGCATCTTCCTTCTCATTGAAGCAGAATTCAGCCTGAACTGCAATGAGGGAAGTGTTAACCAAACCTGGGAGAGAGAACTCAGCTCTGTGCTTGTTTCTGTGGCAGATATGGAGCGACTGTCGCTATGATCACCTGGGCAGCCCTTTAGACTCTTGTGCTGCAACTGGTCTCATGTGACCAGAATTAAGAACTTTTTACAAAAAAAAAAAAAAGAAAAGAAAAGAAAAAAGAGAACTCAGTTTTTCCCCATCTCAACAAAAAAGAAACAGAGGAATAAGGCGGGGGCTCAGAGTTCTGCACCTTAAAACAGTCCTGCTTTGTCACTTCTCCCAGTGGTGGTTTCTCTTACCAGTACCAAAAAGAGCCACTTCTGTCACACAAGAGCAACAGAGGAGCATTCCCCAATCAAACTCAATCAGAGCCTTTATCAGGGAAAGGAGCATTCGGTACCGAACTTTCCCTTCACTGGCTCCCCACAGCTCTGGGGTTCTTCCAAAGTAGTAAGAAGACAGATTTCTTGTTGAGAGAATACTGTGAAAATACAGCTGAAATGAAATGAAATGCACTTGGGAACAAAATGATGTCTAGCCTGGCTGCAGGCAGTCCTGGAGCCCATGGAGTCAGAGCCCTCTTGGGTTTACCTATTGATGTAGAGGTCTAACACTAATCTAATGTCAAGATTATCCTTACAACCTTTATTGAAATATCAGGCCAATAATCAGATGTGGTGAGTTTGGACTTTCACACCCAGAGCCAAGTTTCATTCCAGCTGATCAATACTCGTCATCGTGCTCCTCGTGCGCTGCGCAGTTTGGATTTCCTCGGGGCATGGGCAGGTCCCCGGCCTGCTGGCAGCTGGGAAGAGCAGTGCAGGAGGGTGTGGGCTGCTGCCGAGCTGCAGTTCCTCTGAGCTCACAAAGCTGGCTTTATCACAAGCAATCCCAGCGCTGCAGGCTCCGAGAATTGCTCTGATCATTGCAGCCCCACTGGAGCTGTGGGAGGGGAGCACACACAGCTCACACCCTGTGCTGCTGTTATATAAAAGCCTGGCACGGATCTCAAACACTGATGAAAACAAACCCAGTGTTTGTTTGTTATGGTCTTTTTTTTTTTTTCCCCCAAAACAACCATTTGGCGCCTTATTTTGAAATCCACCAAGCACTGCTGCTGGCTCACTGCCCGTCAGCACAGAGCTATTCCACATTTCCCTGCAGCAGCTCTAACAACCCGCTGTGTACCTTGTGTCTGGCCCCGCAGGCTCAGCCTCTACAAGGTTCTCTTTGGGCTGATCTAAGGTTGTGCTCACAAACAACCAGAGCCCCCAACAGCTGGAATTCAGTGTTCAGCAAAGCAAGGTGGAAGCAGAAATCATTGTCTTTCCCGTGAAATAGAATTGGTGAGAAGTGCTCTGTGCAGCCAGGTGTGCTGCAGTTCTTTCAGATCACCTCTGTCAAAGGTGCAGCTCACAGAGTGAAGG